CCACACACCACACACACACACCCACTCACCCCACCACCACCACCCGCCACATACTCACCCACTCACCCCACCACCACCACCCGCCACACTCCACACACCCACTCACCCCACCCCACCACCCGCCACACACCACACACACACACCCACTCACCCCACCACCACCACCCGCCACACACCACACACACACACCCACTCACCCCACCACCACCACACACCACACACACACACCCACTCACCCCACCACCACCACACACCACACACACACACCCACTCACCCCACCCCACCACCCGCCACACACCACACACACACACCCACTCACCCCACCACCACCACCCGCCACACACCACACACACACACCTACTCACCCCACCACCACCACCCGCCACACACCACACACACACACCCACTCACCCCACCACCACCACCCGCCACACACCACACACACACACCCACTCACCCCACCACCACCACCCGCCACATACTCACCCACTCACCCCACCACCACCACCCGCCACACACCACACACCCACTCACCCCACCCCACCACCCGCCACACACCACACACACACACCCACTCACCCCACCACCACCACCCGCCACACACCACACACACACACCCACTCACCCCACCACCACCACCCGCCACACACTCACCCACTCACCCCACCATCGCTCACAAGCTGAGCTTTCCAGAGAGCGGAAAATGTGACGCTGATCCTGGAGTTTTGGGGGAAGCCGATGGAGCGAGGGTGGTGGAGGGGGTGGAACTCCGAGGAGACCCGCGGAGTGCGTGGGCCTGGGTGGGTGGGTGGGTGATGAGTGGGGAATGATGATTTGAAACAGATGGGAGAGAAGACGATGGGGGGGGGGGTGGGGGAGTGTTGGTTCTGAGGGTACAAGTCACTGCTGCCTCAAACCCTGGCCAACTAGCCAGCCAGACTATTGTACTCCATCTTCTTGGTTCTTTCGGTAAAGTCACTTAGAAGGGAAATAATAAAATAATGAAAATAAAACATAATAAAATACAATTCTCACTGAATTCTCAGTGAGTAATAAAAATAAAACAATAAAATACAATTCTCACTGAATTCTCAGTGAGAATTGTATTTTATTATGTTTTAATATCTACTGAATTCTCAGTGAGAATTGTATTTTACTATGTATTATTTTTATTATTTTATTATTTCCCTTCTACGTGACTTTACCGAAAGAACCAAGAAGATGAATCCCTGCAGTCACGAAAGCTTTAAATCGAAATATTGCACTCCAGTTGACTCTGACAATTCAACCAATGCGAACCACACTCTAAACCCGAACCAACGAGTCAACGACACCATGACACTTCGCTCGACCCTTACCGATTACAAATTAGCAGGTCAGACACTGGCCACTGCCTTCCCACTGATCCTACCTCGACCCTTGACCCCACTCCCGGGGTGCCTCACCGCTACTCGATTGAAAAACTAAAACACGATTTTTCTTTGAAATGAAATAGTTCAGTTTTATTTGGAAATTTTAAGACCGCCACCGGGCTACGTGGCGATCACAAATGGTCGCTCAACCAAGTGGCCCATCATCACGTGGGACATTTATAGCAGACAGATACTCTGAACGCGCGGTTCTAAATGTGGAGGGGGAATCCCGGAGGACCCGGAGAAAAATCCACGCGACGACGGGGAGAAGAGAGACACGCAAACTCCAAATATACAGCAGCAGCAGCAGGCGTCAGGGTTGGGATCGAACCCACGACCTCCTGCATACCAGGCGAGGTAGTTAACATCTCATAGCCACCGCGGCGCCCGTGCTGCTAGCAGGGGCAGTGGCCACCACCACCACCATCACCAGCAGCACCACCAGCACCACCACCAGCACCAACACCACCACCAGCACCACCACCAGCACCACCAGCACCACCACCACTGTGACCAGGAATGACCTCTCTGCTCTTGCGGTCACAAGCGAGCACTGCCGCCAAAGTGTTTCATGGAACAGGGAGAGAAACCCGCAGTAAAAGCCACAATGGCGCGTATGTGTGTACGTGTAGCAGTAATAATAATAACAACGAGCAGAGAGCGCTCGCAACAGTGAGAGGCATTCATTGATTTCTGCTGCTGCAGCTCCCCCTGGGCGAGCCGGTCTCGTGATCCCCACACCGCACAGAGGCAACTTTGCTGATCCCAGAGAGGCAACTTTATTGACCCCAGAGAGGCAACTTTGTTGACCCCAGAGAGGCAACTTTGTTGACCCCAGAGAGGCAACTTTGTTGACCCCAGAGAGGCAACTTTGTTGACCCCGTGGTGCGACACGTGGCTGATTGTGGGGGGGGGGGGGGTAAGTGAATTCCCAAACGAGAACTTTATTGAAGAAGACCCGACGAAGCGACGGCTCTCTGGTTTCTCTGGTTCTCTGTGCTGCCCCAGACGACAGCGGCGGTGTACCGATCTCGGTAGCCGTGTCCAGTCAAAGGTGCATGGAGGGTGGTCTGTCCTCCATGAATGATGGCACTCCATTTGGTGCAAACCCTAAGGCGTTCATCACCAATGGATGCCCGATACAACACGCGTACTCTGGCGGGACACGCAGACGCCAACCCAGCTCGCAACCCCACGTGCCCGTTGGTTGGATGGCTTAAAACGTTCAGGGTACAATTGTATCCTTAACATCCCTTGGTGTGGACCAATCAGTTTCAAGGACAATGCATATATTATCAGAGTGTGTTTTTGTTTGCATTTTGACTGCAAGTATTGTGGTTAATGCAGTTACATGAATCCTCGTAAAAAGGTTTCAGTTTTGTTGCCAGAAAAAAGGTGAGAAACCCCTATTATAAAGTCACGTAGAAGGGGAATAATAAAAATAAAACATAATAAAATACAATTATCACGACGTTTCGGCCACAACGCAAGCAGCCGTCCTCAGGTGAAGACCAGGTCTGTCGGAAAGACAGACGCTGTCTTTCCGGGCTGACAGTCCACGGACCTGTTCTTCACCTGAGGACGGCTGCTTGCGTTGTGGCCGAAACGTCGTGAGAATTGTATTTTATTATGTTTTATTTATTATTTTATTATTTCTATTCTACGTGACTTTACCGAAAGAACCAAGAAGATGAATCCCTGCAGTCACGAAAGCTTTAAATCGAAATTTAATTGTGACCTATTTCTTTTTGCGAACGCCATACAACCCAAATTAATTCATCCCCCGCCCCCCCCCCCCCCATTTATTGTGGTCAAAAAAATGTCCTTGGGTGTGGCTCTCTGTGCTGTGTGAATATTTTTAGAAAGTGTCCTCACTGGGACGACCGCGAGCACATTGCGGCTCTTGGCGGGCGCAGAGAAATAAAAAAAATCCCACCACACAATTTAGCGGGAGTTTCCTCTTGCAATTGCAATTTTTTTTACACAAAATTACGAGAAATCCCTGGCGCCACGTTTGAGCCTTGGGAGAGACGGGCAGAGCCACAAAGACAAAGATCCCTCCGCCCCGGATGGGCTTAAACGTCGTACTCAGATTGTAAATGTTGTGGCTTGGCTCTCTAACACACCGGTTAGTGCTGTACTCGTATACTACACTATACACTACACTATACACTATACTATACACTAGTGCTGTACTAGTATACTACACTACACTATACACTACAATAGTGCTGTAGTATTATACTACACTATACCCTACACTATACACTACACTATACACTACTATACACTACACTATACACTACACTATACACTACACTGCACACTAGTGCTGTACTAGTGACGAATTGGCCACGTTCTGTTTACGTGACAACCCTTACTAGTTGGCCGTGTCGGGTGGTGGCGGGTTTTAACGACACATTTATATATTTACGCGATCTAACCCAAACAAAACCTCCATTATGGATGATATTGGTCGCGAAAGCCTCCTACGTGTTAGACCCTCAACAGACTGTAGGGGCAAGTGCTGTTAGCGAGTAGAAACCTACGAAGACCGGCACGGCACATGAGGGGGTGGGTGGCCAGCACCACGCCCGGCCGCCTTTGTCTCCCCAGTAGCGATGTTTTTACGCACCGCACCAGGTACTCATTTGAGGCTGAGTCTACCCAGGGGAGCTCCAGGACCGGTTCAGATAATCGTCACGGCCGTGAGCGGGAATCGAACTCGGGTGGCCGGGTTCGTAGCGCAGCGTAGCGCTAACCGCTGCACCACCGCTCCCCACACAGAAAACACACACACGGGCACACACGGACACCGCACTAGGCACTCATTTTAGGCTGAGTCGACCTAGGGGAGACACAGATATTTGCCACCGGTGTCGGCCTCGAGCAGGAATCGAACTCGGCTCGCCAGGTTCGTAGCGCAGCGTGGCGCTAACCGCTGCACCACCGCTCCCCACACAGACACACACACGCACCACACCCTTGGGTCGTGAAGTGGTGAAACGAGGCATATGCCCTCCCACGCGTGTGACATTCTGCACAGCTACACCGTTACGTTTCTAGGGGCGAGAGGGTTTGGTGGTAGTGATGTGGTGGTGGTGGTGGTGTGGAGGCGAGGGGGGTGGGTGCCGTTACGCAGAGTGTGACATTCTGCACAGCTACACCGTTACGTTTCTAGGGGCGAGAGGGTTTGGTGGTGATGTGGTGGTGGCGTGGGGGTGGGTTGCCGGTACGCAGAGTGTGACATTCTGCACAGCTACACCGTTACGTTTCTAGGGACGAGAGGGTTTGGTGGTGATGTGGTGGTGGCGTGGGGGTGGGTTGCCGGTACGCAGAGTGTGACATTCTGCACAGCTACACCGTTACGTTTCTAGGGACGAGAGGGTTTGGTGGTGATGTGGTGGTGGCGTGGGGGTGGGTTGCCGGTACGCAGAGTGTGACATTCTGCACAGCTACACCGTTACGTTTCTAGGGGCGAGAGGGTTTGGTGGTGATGTGGTGGTGGCGTGGAGGGGGGGGTGCCGTTACGCAGAGAACTCCACACAACGTTGCCCTGCGGTGGCCTCACGCCTTGCTCCTCCCCTCCTTTCCGGAGAAACTGTTTTCTCTCCCTCCCTCTCCAACAAAGCTCTGTGTTTTTTTTTGTTGGGTTCGAGGCGCGTAAAATATCCAGCCTGTGCGTCAGATCACCACACGCAGCAGCAGCAGCTCCACCTCCTCCTCCTCTCGAGCTCCGTTCTTCTTCGTCCCACGGACCCCTCCACTCGATCTGCTCGTCGCTTCTTCTCTCCCTTCACTCGCTCTCTCGCCCTTCGGCACCATGCCCCAGGTGGTCGTGAACTCGCAGGCGGTGACGTCCCGCCTGGGCGTCGTGCGCGTGCTCCAGGTGGCTTTCACCTGCGTCGCATTCAGCCTCGTGGCGCACAGCGGAGGCAAGGCGCACTCGTACGGCGACTTCTGCATGTTCGCCTGGTGCGCATGCTTCGCCTGCTCCCTCTTTATGCTTCTCCTCGAGCTGTTCGACCAGCGAAGCTGCGCGCAGATCTCCTGGCAGAACCTGACGGTCACGTACGCCATGCTGGCCGCGCTGCTGCTGCTGTCCGCCTCCGTGCTGCATCCCGTCTACCGGCTGCGCAGGATCTCGTGCGGCAACTGCGAGCAGCGCACCTTCACCATCGTGGCGACCGTCTTCTCGTGCCTCGCGTTCCTCGCCTACGCCGCAGAGGTGGCCCTGACGCGGGCACGCCCCGGGGAGGTCACGGGCTACATGGCCAGCGTGCCCGGCTTGCTCAAGGTGCGACCCCACCCCCCCCCCCCGGTGGAAACGCCACGCGCACGCGAGGTAGAATTGCGCCGAATTGCTTGTCTGGGTCGCTGTGTAGAGTTGGTGGTGCCGGGACTGGTCGTCGCGGCGATGGCGAGGGGGTGGACTGGATGCGGCACGAAGGCTGCTTGATCTCAAGGCATCTCGCACTGCCACGCCCAGAGAGCGAATTCTTAAGGAATATTTTGCAGGTCGTGTGGATTGACTGGAGAAAGTGGCACGTGCCACTCGTGGCCACGGCTATCCCAATGACAGATAATCAAAAGGTGGATTTAAGATACCGATGCGTTTTAAACACTCATTGGTGGGCTAAAATCCCAACGGTCAGATTTGACAATGTGAAACTTGACTTTTTTTTCTGTTTAAATCCAGGCGAGAGATTTTAACCATCGGGCTGGAGATTTTAAATATCGGGTTTTTAAATCACCGGGACCGGATTGAAACCTGGGTTTTGCAGCCTGCGCGGCCGCCACGTCTGGCATTCCAGCGAACAACAGAAACAGTTTTATGCTCACACAGCTCTGGGGTGGGAGGCGGTGGTGGGGGTGGTGGTGGTGTGGGTGGAGCAGGGCCCAAAGCCATAAACGGGTCAGCCTGTTGCGTTAAATTTATTACGGGACTTCTCCTGGCCCCCCAATCAATGGGAGCTTTGTGTCGGCCACAGCAAAAACGGCGTTCACGCGCAGAACGCGTCGGGGCCAGGAAGGATCTCAGTCCTGTGCCCCAGACGTCGTGTTCACGTTGCCTCGTTACGCACTCCGCTCACCGCGCACGCATTTCGCGCCCCCAGGTGCTGGAGGCGTTCGTGGCGTGCCTCATCTTCGTGGTGCTGGCAGATCGCCCGGGGCTGTACTCGCGCTACCCGGCGCTGCAGTGGTGCCTGGCCGTGTACTGCGTCTGCTTCGTGCTGGTGGCGGTCGTCATCCTGCTCACCGTGTGCCAGAGCACGGGCCGACTCTGCCTGCCCTTCGACCGCTTCCTGGCCCTGTGTGGCTTTGTAGCCGTGCTGGGCTACGTGACGGCCGCGGTGCTGTGGCCCGTCTACTGCTTCTCCGACAAAGACGGCCACCCTCGCCGCACGCCCGACTGCCGATTCGTGGGCGGCTGCGACTGGGACATGCAGCTGGCGGTGACTGTGTTCACCTACGTGAACCTGCTGGCCTACGTGGCCGATATGGTCTACTCAAGCCGCCTGGTCATCTTCAGCCGCTCCTGATGGAGGGGAGAGGGTGGCAGGGTGGGATGGGGTGGGCGGGCTGGAGGGGCTGGGTGTGGTAGGAGTCCGAGGTCAGGATTGGAAGTGGTTTTGGTGGTGGTGGGGGGGTGGTGGCAAATATGGAAGATGGAAACCAGCTGTTGGAGCCAAGGGAGCCTCTTGGGCAAATGTCGTCACGGCTGGGTGTGGTGGTGATGCAGGGGTCTGCGTTCAAGCCGCCTCCGTTGAACGAATACGTTTCTCTTGAATTAAAACAAAATATAGCGCGTTTACATTTAATGGGAATTCCACGCAAGTGTAGTGCTTAGAGGCAGAGTTCAGGCGTGCAAATGTTAACGTTTGTATGTGCTGGTCTGCTCGTTACTCATTTAATCCGTAAGAATATGAAAGTTTTTTTTTTTGTAAACGAATGGCAGTCGTGAACAAGCGCACGTAAATAAACTCCACAATTTGTCATCAAAATCTATAATCAGCTTAAAGTTTCAGAAAATGTCCCTTGGAAGAAGAAAATCCAGTCGAGGGGGGAGGAGGGTGGTCTGTGTTTTTGGTCTAGGGAAGAGAGATGGGTTTTTGGGTTGGAGTTCGGGTTGGAGTAGCTCAGAGGCGTTCATAGTGGAGCCCCATCCATAGTCAGGGAGCACGTGACCACCTCATCCTTCATTGCCCACTGCTACAAGAAGATCGTTATGTGTTCGCTTAGATTGCAGGAAGGCCCGTATGTGTCCCGTTAGGTTGTAGAAAGGCTAAAATGTGTCCCGTTAGTCCATATGAAGGCCGAAATGTGTCCCGCTCGATTGTAGGAAGGTCGGTATGTGTTCCGTTAGGTTGTAGGAAGGCCAAAATGTGTCCCGTTAGTCCATAGGAAGGCCAAAATGTGTCCCGTTAGGTTGCAGGAAGGTCGGTATGTGTTCCGTTAGGTTGCAGGAAGGCCGAAATGTCTCCCGCTAGTCCATAGGAAGGCCGAAATGTGTCCCGTTAGGTTGCAGGAAGGTCGGTATGTGTCCCGTTAGTTGGGCGTGGTGGAAGTCCGGCCATACTTTTCGGCTGACAAGGACCTTGAAAATGCCGAGGATGCTGAGCAGGCCACTCCCTTCCTCGTTCTGTAAATTGCCTGCTTCGCCTCATCAAAGTTTACCAGCCCATCACTGTATTAACCACAAATTCATATAGCCACATTCTCCACCCACCCACCACCCATGCTGCAGTTTAACACGAAGTAGGATTTCGCAACCAACAGTTGTTTTGGGTTAGATCGCGTAAATATATAAATGTGTCGTTAAACCCGTCACCACCCGACACAGCCAACTAGTGAGGTTTGTCACGTAAACAGAACAGGCGGAATTTGTCCACAAATCTAGCTGTCGCCTGATGAAGCTGGTTGTAATTACTGGCGAAACGTCGTACTAAGATTGTAAATGTTGTGCCTTGGCTCTCCAACATACAACCGGTGGTGCTGTACTAGTGACGAATTGGCCACGTTCTGTTTGTGTGACAACCCTTACTAGTTGGCTGCATCGGGTGGTGGCGGGTTTAACGACACAACATTTATATATTTACGTGATCTGACCCAAAAAAAACAACCTGTGTTATGGACCCTCGCTGTACCCGGCTATTGAGCTCAACAACCCATAGCTGTGATGTCACCACAGAGGTACAAACACCGTGCCTCCCATCAGCAGCAGCAGCATCAATTACTGCGAATAAATTCTAGATTTGAAGCTTTCGTGACTGCAAGGATTCATATTCTTAGGTTTTTTTTCGGTAAAGTCACGTAGGTAAAACATTTAAATTAATAAAAGTAAAATAAAAATAAAATAAAAAATCACGACGTTTCGGAGGCAACACAAGCTTCCGTCTTCAGGTGGAACCGTCACAGCCACGATAGCTGTATCAAGTGAGAGAAATTCCAAGAAAACAATCCTTGTATATATACTGGTTGAGGGTGGGAGGAGCCAAGGTAGTAATACTATTCAGGGCTTACCTTGGCTCCTCCCACCCTCAACCAGTATATATATACAAGGATTGTTTTCTTGGAATTTCTCTCACTTGATACAGCTGTCGTGCTGCGAATAAAGCCAAACTTCATGTTAAACGTGGCACGTGGAGGGTGAGTTAAGAGATTTACTCTCCAACACGCCGGTGAGCTGAAGTAGTAACTATTTGCCGTTGTTGTTTTAGTGACAAATCCCTTACTAATTGGCTGTGTCGGGTGGTGGAGGGTTTCTACACATGTACACTAACCCAAAAAACCTTTATTATGAATAATATTGGTCGCGAAAGCCTGGGTTAGTCGATGCTCGCTCACCCGCTCGCCCACGTGGGCTCGTTATTATTATTATTTCAGTAACGAGACGGTGTTGTTGTTTTTTATACTAATGCAAGTGTATTTTTTTATTTTTCAATCAGAGGACCGTTTCATGCAGCTCGCCCCGTGTTCGCTCACCAAAGGTGCGCACGTGTCAAAAACGTGGATCACGCAGAGTATCCGGTCTGTTTTGGCGTTCTGCCTGCATGCGTTTTCTGTTCTGACGATGGTGTCGTTTTTGAGCAATAAACCTTGCCTTTTACAGTTTGCAATTGCAGTTTGCCGAAAAATTTCACAAGATCATCACCATACACACCCCTTTGTCATCGCACTCACGAATCACCACCATATTCGTCCGTACCGGAGGTAGCTGCATTGACGATTAGCAGCTACAAATGAAACACCCCAATCCACTCTCGACACACGAGAAGTGGGGAGTGATTTTGGGGAATGGCTTTCTCGAATCCATCTGCATCACAGCCATGAGCGCGGTGCTGAGATTTCTCCGGGGATTCCTTCCCCGCACGAAGCCAAAACTCTCACTACGAATAGAATTGTAAATGTTGTGGCTTGGCTCTCCAACGCACAACCGAGGGGGGTACGCGGATCCCTGAGGGAGTAAGAGGACCCCTGAGGGGGTACCCCCTGGCGGGGTACCCCCTGGCAATGTCCCAGGTGTGTTACGTGCGGTGATTTATTAAACGTGAAATTATATCACACACGAGAGCCATCGGTGAATTCTAAAATAACTACGATTAATTTGTTTGAATCTATATGGTGACCGAGAACGATGTAAAATACCTCTCAAAAACTCTTATTGATCTTTGCTGTGGTTTTCACACCATATGATGATTGCTTGTGTTGCAATCGAAACGTCGTGAGAATTTAATTGTTTTATTTTTATTATTTTATTATTTCCCTTCTACGTGACTTTACCGAAAGAACCGAGAATATATATTCTTATTGATCGTAAACAATGTTGGTTTCCAAGAGCAACCAGCTAACGCAAACAATTGATGTCACGCGTTCAGAGCGTCCATTTTTTTAAGTTCGTTAGGATACCTCACAAAATGGACAATAGGTTTAAAAAAAAGTTGTTTATTACCCGTACATTGATTTCTCAAGAACTATGTTTGCATACGTGTCAACCCATACGGTTGACCCGTATTGTTGTACAGGGAAAGTGAGTTTTCAGGTCCATACGGCGAACAGCCGTTTCATGATGGGACTTTGTAGGATGAACTTTGAGATTTATAAGGGACACGGGGCTACCAATAATGTCTGAATTAGTCTATGATTAGGTAGGGCACTGATAAGGGGTTGACAGGTATGGGTTGAGCTCACAAAAAGGTCTGTATTGCACGTTTCTTTGCATGTTCACCACACGTACGTACGGTTAACGCAGACTCCATTCCTTGCAATTTTTTTTTATATTTGGTGTTTAAACATCTCAACACCTCCTGGTTTTATTTGCCAGAAAGAGTAAACACCCTATACTCTTTGGTTCTTTCATATTCTTAGGTTTTTTTCGGTAAAGCCACGTAGGTAAAAAAATTTAAATTATTAAAAGTAAAATAAAAAAAATCACGACGTTTCGGAGGCAACACAAGCTTCCGTCTTCAGGTGGAACAGTCACAGCCACGACAGCTATACTTTTATTTTAATTTTTTTAATTTTTATTTTTTTACCTACGTGACTTTACCGAAAAAACCTAATAATATGAATCCTTGCAGTCACGAAAGCTTCAAATCTAGAATTCGGTGTAAGAAGTTAACCTTCACTGAAAGCTCCAAGGGGTTATGGACAGGAAACACAAAATGGCGAACAACAGCAACAATGGGGCCATTCTGAAGGGACACATTCAGCCATGGTTATCCGCAGCGTTTTGTTCACCACACGCGTGTGCCAACTCATGTTTCCGTTGTGGTACGAAATTAAAAAAAAACATAATCTTATCTTGTTTGCGTAATACGGAGGCCCTTGAATGGGAGATGTTTTGACGCTGTCTACCGCCATCTTGTGGTGAGTCCAATTGGATTTGCCAGGGGTGGGTGCGGACAGACTCGTTATCGACAATGCAGTAGCAGGGGACTTAATTATGAACATTCGAACTTTCATAGACACGAACAAATCCGTGCCGTGTGGTCCAGTTGCCTGTTCAACCACCTGTGCAATAGACGGCAGTGGTGGCATCTACATCTGCAGAACGTGAAAAACCAGTGGTATCTACATCTGTAGAACGTGAAGAACCAGTGGCATTTACATCTGTAGAACGTGAAGAACCAGTGGCATCTACATCTGTAGAACGTGAAGAACCAGCGGCATCTACATCTGCAGAACGTGAAGAACCAGTGGCATCTACGTCTGCAGAACGTGAAGAACCAGCGGCATCTACATCTGCAGAACGTGAAGCACCAGTGGCATCTACGTCTGCAGAACGTGAAGAACCAGTGCCATCTACATCTACAGAACGTGAAGAACCAGTGACATCTACATCTGCAGAACGTGAAGAACCAGTGGCATCTACATCTGCAGAACGTGAAGAACCAGTGGCATCTACATCTGCAGAACGTGAAGAACCAGTGGCATCTACATCTGCAGAACGTGAAGAACCAGTGGCATTTACATCTGCAGAACGTGAAGAACCAGTGGCATCTACATCTGCAGAACGTGAAGAACCAGTGGCATCTACATTTGCAGAACGTGAAGAACCAGTGGCATCTACATCTGCAGAACGTGAATAACCAGTGGCATCTACATCTACAGGAGATTATGCTACTTTTAAAGCCACTCCCCATGTTTAGTGTACATGCCACACAACATGTTTAGAAACGACAGGAGTAAAGTTGACCTGAAGAACAAATCGACTTAACGAACCTCTGGAACAGAACTCGTTCGTAAGTAGAGTCCCTGTACTACATAAAGACAACGATCTTCCTCGTACAGCCTCTTGGGGCAAGTGCTGTTAGCGAGTAGCACCACGCCCAGCCACCTTTGGCGATGTTTACACACCGCACTGGGTCCTCATTTGAGGCTGAGTCGACTTATGGGAGGCCCAGGACCGGTTCAGATAATTGTCACTGGTGTTGGCCGTGAGCGGAAATCGAACTTGGGATGTCGGGTTCATACTACGACGCTACCGCTCCCCACACTTACATACACGCGCTCTCACACATAAATTCATACATCACACACTCACATTACTTCAAAACCCAAAAAAATATTTATAACAAATATACAACTTACCTCATCCCAAAGCCATGGTGTCACGGGGGCCATGTTGTATATCGGCAACCATGTTGAACCAGGATTATTTCCCTGGAAGCCGATTGGTCGGTGTTCCGCAAGTGATGACGCAATCCCTAGCAACCACTGTATTTTGTGCGACGTGCACAGCAAAATGCTTACACGCGATTTCGAAGTGTACGTAAAACTGCTTCCTTGCATTTAAGCAGTTTTATTTCGGACTCTGGCCCCTGATTTTTGTGTTGTATCATCTCTCCCACATTCCCTCCTTAATTCGTTCACTTATTCATTCACTTCGAGACCCAAACATCATTGCACATCTCCTGGCTTTTACATTCTTCCTCGAAGACACCAGTGGTGTAACCATCAACCGCATCAGGACATCAACAGGCCGATGTGCACAACGCCTACGAAAATGAGTAAATTAAAGACACAGGCAACAGCAGTGCAATTGTGGCCATACAATTCAAACTCATGGGCAGAGATAGAGACCATTAGAGATGCAATAAAGGGCAGCCACAGTAGTGCGATTATGGACATGCAACCCAAAACTGTGGACCATATCGTAAACCACCGTGATTTGTGCTCTTTCTACGGAGGAAGAGGAAAACGACACAATTCTCTTCTCTCCTGAAAGCCTCTCGTCGTGGCTAGTAGACCTCAACAATGGAGTCTAGCTCCTGAACAAATTGCCATACGCAAGAATAGAATCCACTTACTGCGTGACCAAATCACCCGTAAATGCCCTACCCCCCCTGTTAGACCAGGAGAAGGGAGTTACGAAACATGTGCCAGATTCATCAATCCTAGCCTCCAGTGCTGGATAAACAGCAGAGGTCGCAAACGGGTTTTGATTCCTTACCCTTACCCGGCCGCACCAGGGTCGCAAACAGGTGCCCGTACCCTACCCGATACCCAGCTACCCGTCCCGGCCAGGTATCGGGTACCCGATTGCGACCTCTGGGATGAAGCCATGTTGCAGGCGCGGGTGGGTTGATTCTAGGAACTTGAATTGTGAGAAAAGACGTTGGGAAATGAGTGACAAACGGTGACTCACCAGTGACTCACGGCCTACCCGTACCCATACACGGCCGCACCAGGGTCGCAAACGGCTACCCGTACCCAGCCGGGTACGGGTAGCTGGGTATCGGGTAGGATACGGGTATCGGGTACCCGATTGCGACCTCTGATAAACAGGCGTGCGTAGCCACCACCGCCCGCCCTGTGCGTGGCGATTGCTTTTGTAAGCATTATCCAGGTTCAAAGCCTGCTTGGGCCCGACACGTAATAAAGGTTATCTGGGTTAGATCGCGTAAATATAAATGTGTCGTTAACCCACCATCACTCAGCACAGCGAATTAGTAAGGTTTGTCACGTAAACAAAACGTGCCAATTATAGTTACTAATTTAGCACACCCGATGTGTTGTCAGTGAATAAAAAAAAATCGCCCGATGAAGCTGGTTGTAATTACCAGCGAAATGTCGTACTCAAATTGTAAATGTCTTGTGTTTACTTTCAACACACCGGTGTGCTGAACTAGTAACTAATTGGCTCGTTTTGTTTACAGGTGTTGTTGGGTTAACAACACATTTATATTTACACAATCTAACCCAAAGTGTTGCATTTGCCCCACACGTTTCACAAACTTTCGCCACCAAATCACAGCAGCAGCAACACCCACCGCAGCAGCAGAACAGCTAAATCAGGCAGTCGAGAATGCAGTGTGGGTTTCATTTTTTTTTATTAAAGCGTCAACCGCAAAAAGGGGAGCTCAAGTGCACCCTTGTGTGACACAGGACGACGAAACTTCCTCTCGCATTCATAACGGAGGTTTTTGGGTTAGATCGCGTAAATATGAATGTGTCGTTCAAACCGCCACCACCCGCCACAGCCAATTAGTAAGGTTTGTCACGTAGACAAAACGTGCCAATTCGTTACTAGTACAGCACACCGGTTGTGTTGGAGAGTAATCCCACCACAACATTTACAATTGGAGTGCCGTGACGTTTCGCCGGTAATTACAACAAGCGGCATCATCAGGCGACAGCCAGAGTTGTGCCTCTCGCAGCGCGCAAGATCCCAATTCTAGATTTGAAGCTTTCGTGACTGCAAGGAATCATACTCTTAGGTTTTTTCGGTAAAGTCACGTAGGTAAAAATTAAAATAAATAATAAAACTAATAAAAAAGAATGTTACTATTTTATTTCTATTATTATTTTTAAAAATATTATTTTATTTTTCTTTTTTTTTCTTTCTTTTTACCTACGTGACTTTACCGAAAAAACGCAAGATCCCACTCGGTCACACATTCCCCAGCCCCAGGCAGCGAGTCCGTGGGCTTGAGGCTCACGCGAGAGGTCTGCCACTGAAGAGTGGCGTGACGCACCGCCGCTCACATCATTTCCTTGAGGACGAAGCGCCCCTCCTGGTGAGGAGGGATGACGTTGATGAACGTCTTGTAGAGCATGGCGCCTCGCGGCAGCTTGCACACCACCTGCAAGAGGCGGCACACGGGTTTTACGCGGGAGGGGATCACGTCTCGAGACGCGGTCGCGTTTTCACGATCGCGGAATTCAATTCTATCCACCCCACCCCCCACCAACAACCTCCGACTAGCACAGTTTCTGCACCTACAATTGAACACGGTTGGCTACGTACGGCACGAAGGAAGTTCAACATACATAAGGATATCATTCGTACGTTTACCAAATTTTTCTACACTTTACAAAACCCTTTCTGGCACTCGACTCAAGGAAGAAATAGAATGGGAATTTCGGAAGCACAATGAGATTATACGACGGTGAGATTTCACACGCGTTTTTTTTTACCGCGATTAAAAGTGCAATATGTCAGAAAGCGCCCGTAGCTGGAGATGTCTCCCTCCAGACGTACGTACGTATGTCCAACTTCTTTTGCATGTTGGCTATCAACAACAAGGCAACTCCTATGACTAATTGGGAATGGGACGCAAGCGTAGGATTGATCACCCTGTCGCTGGCCGCCTTTGGGGAGGGTGTATAGTATGAAAGGCCGAAACACCCTAGGAACCAAAGGTTCACTACTGACGATGCGCTCCCCAAATTTCACCAGGCTCACTGTTCATGAACTCTTGGAAGTGCTTGCACAAAGGATAGTAACATCTCATCCTGTGTTCTTTGGAATCTGAATTTGCATTGTACGTAGCCAACCGCGCCAATCGGAGGTAGTCTGCCTTCCAGACACCGAGGTGTCGCTCACAGCGGAGACCGACAAGACAGACGGTGAATGTCAGCGGGGCCTCGCACGGCCAAAGCGATTGGGAGGCGAGCGGGAATCTCCCACCTGGAAGGCCTCCCTGCTCCGCGGAGGAGGGACGTACACCTCCTTGGTGAACCGCACAACGCCGTCCTCCAGGGCGTACAGCGTGTTGTTCCGACCCATGCCGACCTGGCGGAGTTAAACAAAAGCAAGCGGCAGTGAGGGGGGGGGGGCGGTTGGTAGCTGTGCTAATGAGCTCCTCACACTGGGTGTCTGCGGATGCTGCCGCGGGTTGCGTAATAATGGGTTCGCACACTGGATGAAAAAAAAAGATTAGGAATTACTCTGTTTGGCTATAATACAGGAGGTGTTAAGAAGTTCGAACACCAAACGGACACCGATGGCAAGGTATTGTCAAGTCTGCATTGACCACACATCATGCGTGTGATAAAACATGCAAACATGTTTTGATAATTTCTTTTGAAACTGATTGGCCCACACCAGAGACAGCCTACTTTATGGCCTTGTCTCACCACCGGTGTTAGACCAGAGAATGCCAACCGGTGAACATCACAAGAACAATGCACACAACAAAGCATTAATACACGGGTTGAGTAGTTATATATACGGAGCCCTTTTGTTTTCATCATTTTGATTATGGAAAAAAGTGGTCCCATAGGTTGCACGCTGGACTTGCAATTTAGAAGGTGGGTGAATAGTTTCAATATGCCGCTGTGGTGGTGTAATGGTCAGCTCGCTGTGCTTGCAATCCGGAACGGTGGGCATGGTTGATTGAAATATGCTGCTGTGGCAGAGGTCGCAACCGGGTACCCGATACCCGTACCCTACCCGATACCCGGCTACCCGTACCCGGCCGGGTACGGGTACCCGTTTGCGACCCTGGTGCGGCCGGGTACGGGTACGGGTAGGCCGTGAGTCACTGGTGAGTAACCGTTTGTCACTTATTTCCCAACGTCTTGTCTCTTCTCACAATTCAAGTTCCTAGAATCAACCCACCCGCGCCTGCAACATGGCTTCCTCCCAGAAGTCGCAATCAGGTTGGACTCTCCATCCAGACCGGTGTTGACCATGTGGATTCGATCGCCAGGAGGGATATAGATAGGTGAATGAGAAGGTGTCACCATTCATCAGACTTGTAACAATTCATTCTATATTTGAAGCTTTCGTGGCTGCAAGGATTCATATTCTTAGGTTTTTTTGGTAAAGTCACGTAGGTAAAAATTTTTAATTAAAAATTCCACCTGAAGACGGAGGGTTGTGTTGCCTCCGAAAAGTCGTGATTTTTACTTTATTTTTATTTTACTTTAATTAAAATTTTTTACCTACGTGACTTTGTAACAATTCACCCCCCCACCCCGTTGCGTGTGGACGTGTGAGAAACACTTGCGAGTAAGAATGCCTCTGCTGCGACATCAGTAGAGAGAGAGAGTGTGGACGGCGCAGGGAGGAACTCACAAACGCCCCCGGGTGCCAGCGGATGAGCCTCTGCGTGGCGAGGATGTTGCCGGCGTGAACCATGGCACCTGGGGAACGGCGACGGCTCACTCAATCAATCGTTCATTCAGCCATTCCCTGCTTCGTTCCTTCCTTAAGTGTCCCACTCAATGTACTCACTCGCACATTCATCACCCATTGATCAATTTACTCACTCATTAATGTACCCACTCGTATATTCAATCGGGCCACTCTTTCACTATTCATAATCAACGTTTTTGGGTTTAGAGCGCGTTATTTATAAATGTGTCGTAACCCTCCACCACCCGACACGGCCAATCAGTAAAAAAGTGTCACGTTGACAAAAGACAAATAGTTCACTGCTTTAGCCCACCGGTGTGTTGAAGTGTGAAACTACAACATTTCCAATTTTTGAATACGACGTTTCGCTGGTAATTGCATCCAGCATCATCGGGCAATTCGCCAGACCGGTGTGACCATGTTTCACTAATTCACCCGCCATTCAAAAACCCACGTACTAATGCGCACGCTCGCTTGCCAACTCAATCGCTGTCTCTCTACCCGCTCACCCATTCGCTTACTCGCTAATTTAGACTCGCTAACTTGTCCACAAACGAGCTCACTCCATCTGCCCATACGCTGGCCCAATCACCCGCCCAACCCAATGCCTGCGGTGTGACCGACAAGAAACAAAACACTTGACCGTGGAAGACAGGGGTCGGAAAACCAAAATAATAACAAGAGCCATATTTTGATTTAAAGCTTTCGTGACTGCAGGGATTCATTTTCTTGGTTCTTTCGGTAAAGTCTCGTTTTCCTTTTCACCGTCTGGTTTGTGTGGTTTCTCGTTTTTTTTCTCACGGTGACATTTTTCTGCCCCCACTTTTCAGAACAAACATGATGAGCGTATTATTTGCTTATATTCTGCATGCATCTTCTTGGTTCTTTCGGTAAAGTCACGTAGAAGGGAAATAATAAAATAATATAAATATAAAACAATAAAAATGCTCACACGACGTTTCGACTGCCACACAAGCAAGCATCATCAGGTGTGAAATCCACAGCAAGAAAATTTTAAAAAAGTTGCGGTTTTTTCTTGATGCTGACGTTAGGAAAAACCGCCACTTTTTCAAATTTTCTTGCTGTGGATTTCACACCTGATGACGATTGCTTGTGTTGCAGTCGAAACGTCGTGAGAATTTTAATTGTTTTATATTTATATTTTATTATTTCCCTTCTATGTGACTTTACCGAAAGAACCAAGAATAAGAGCCATATTTTTCGAAATTCTGAAAAAAGAAAACCCCCGCAATACATCAAGAGCCGCAATGCACATGGTGAATAAGAGACGATGGTTCCTTAATGACTGTCAAGAAGCGGTCCCTTGAAGAGCCGCACGCGGTTTCTGAGCCCCAACATTGCCGCCACCTGCCCTAGGAGGGGCAATCATGGTGAAAGCAAATTTTACCTTCACAGCAACCGCAGTGTCTCAGAATGGATGTACGGTACGCTGAACTTCTTTCGCACCGTACGTAGCCAACCGTGCCAATTGGGAGGTGGGGAATGTCTGCAAACATGGGTCGTTTCGTCTTCTTCTTCTGCGATGACCACCCCCCTGGTCACATGACCACGTCGCCACCACCCTGGCGACGTCGCCACCACCCTGGCGACGTCGCCACCACCCTGGCGACGTCGCCACCACCCTGGTGACATCACCACCACCCTGGCCACATCACTCGCCTGGCGATGCGGGACTATTTTTTTTTTTACCTTCAAACTTCTTCCATCCGTAGCGCTTGCCCGGACTTTTGGGCGCCGAGTTCCGAACTTTGCTGCCCGCCTTCTTGGACGCCCACCTCACGCCGGCCGCAGCCAACGCGGCTGCACAGCGGTCACAAGTCAGGGGAGGGAGGGGGTCACGAGAAGGTTTAGAGACGGTGGTGGTGGGGGGGGGTGGTGGGGGGGAGGGGTGGTGGTGGTGGGGGGGTGGTGGTGGTGGGGGGGGGGGTGGTGGTGGGGGGGGGTGGTGGTGGGGGGGGGTGGTGGTGGGGGGGTGGTGGTGGTGGGGTGGTGGTGGTGGGGGGGTGGTGGTGGTGGGGTGGTGGTGGTGGGGGGGGTGGTGGTGGTGGTGGTGGGGTGGTGGTGGTGGGGTGGTGGTGGTGGGGGGGTGGTGGTGGTGGGGGGGTGGTGGTGGTGGGGGGGTGGTGGTGGTGGGGGGGTGGTGGTGGTGGGGTGGTGGTGGTGGGGGGGGGGTGGTGGTGGTGGTGGGGGGGGGGGTGGTGGTGGTGGTGGGGGGGGGGTGGTGGTGGTGGGGGGGGGGGGTGGTGATGGTGGGGTGGTGGTGGTGGTGGTGGTGTGGTGGTGGTGGTGGGTTTTTTTATTATTATTTTTCTATCTACTTGACTTTACCGAAAGACCCAAAGAAAAATAAAAAACTATCTTTTTAAATTTTAATCAAGCAAATCCCACTGAGTTATTAACTTTTTCCAAAACCGCCCTGCCCATCACAAACAACTCAACTAAGTGGCTTGCCGCGTGTAAATTCATAGCAGCAGCAGCAGCAGACGAATTGCCCGACTCCTCGAAATGTGCAGGGATACAACATCGGAGGGCACCGGGAGAGGAAACCAAATCCACGCGAACCACGGCGTGCAAGAGAAAGAGAGAGAGTTTGTGCCATTCATTGATTGATTGTAGGTGGTGAGTCGTGTGTGGGTGGAGGAGCGGTGGTGCAGTGGTTGTCGCCAAATCCCCTGCCAAGTGACCCACGTTCGAATCCGGCGCGGCCACACGGCCGATAATAATGCGGCAAAGTCGAGATTAGAAGCTTTCGACACTGCAAGGATTCATACTCTTAGGAGTTTTTTTCGGTAAAGTCACGTAGGAAAAAATTATGATAAAATAATTAAGAAAGTTTCGAAACGTCGCGATTAATTATTTAATTTCAAAAAACATTTTATTTCTATTTATTCTTTATCTATATTTTTACCCACGTGACTTTGCCGAAACAACCCAAGAGTATATAATGCGGCAAAGTCAACATTTACATTCTAAACGTGCGAACGCCACGACACAATTACTACATCGCCAGGCGAGGGAGATAGCTACGCCTGTACCCGTCTCTCTTGCGAAGACGGCGGTGGAGACCGCGGCGGACAAGCGCAGCGAGATGGAGGGCAGCCTCAGCAGCGCCATCGCTCACCACCACCAACACCAACACACTGCACTGTGCCGCGCACTGTACACAACGGCGTGGCGGAAGGACGCGGGGTCGCGAAGCGCCGCGTCGGCCATCTTGGTAAGGGGGGTTGAGTTGGTAACGGCTCCATCGTCGGCCATATTGGTAAGGGATTAACGGCTCGATCGTCGGCCATCTTGGTCAGGGTATGTGGTTGGTAACAGCGTGCTCGTCAGCCATCTTAGTGAGGGATGGGCGACATCGCGCGTCGGCCATCTTGGTAAAGGATTAGCGACGGCGCGTGAGTCGGCCATCTTGATCAGGGTATGTGGTTGGTAACAGCGTGCTCGTCAGCTATCTTAGTGAGGGGTTCAAGTTCATTATTTATTAGGTAATAGCCCTGTGAGCCATTCGGCTCTTGAATCGGGTGCAACCGCAACAAACAAAAACATGAACAAAAAAACATCTTAAAGTGAATAAGTGACTGAGTACAAACAGAAAATCCAAGAGAAGACAGCAAAATATTGCAGAAAAAAACACCGCACACCAATGCTGTGGGCGGCGTAGCGCGCGTTGGCCATCTTGGTAAGGGATTAGCGACGTCTCGTGTATTGGCCATCTTGGTCAGGGTATGTGGTTGGTAACAGCTTGCTCGTCGGCCATCTTGGTAAGGGATAAGCGACGTGTCGTGTGTCGGCCATCTTGGTAAGGGATTAGCGACGTCGCTGTGTCGGTCATCTTGGTCAGGGTATGTGGTTGGTAACAGCTTGCTCGTCAGCCATCTTAGTGAGGGGTGGGCGACGTATCGCGCGTTGGCCATCTTGGTAAGGGGTGGGTGACATCACGCGCACGGCTTATTTAGAACAGGATAAAACATTTTTTTACTTATACCAGAGGACGAAGCCGTTTAGCTTATAAAGCTTTTTATTTATTTCACGGATGTCCAGAATGGGCACGGAGTCAATACGTTAACAACAATAAACGATATATATTCTTGGTTCTTTCGGTAAAGTCACGTAGAAGGGAAATAATAAAATAATAGAACTTTCCCGAAAGAACGACGAATATGAATTCCTGCAGTCACGAAAGCTTTAAATCAAAACAATAAACGATATTAAGTAATTGGAGTTGCGGGGGAAGAACTAGACAAAATACGATGCAAAGTCTGTATAGGAAATGTAAACAAATCACTTAAAATGCATGAAAACAAAACTTCTCTACATTTCCACATGATGGCCCACTTTGTTGAGCTATCATTTGTGATCGCCAGGTCGCTTATGAAAAATAATCTTAACAGCTTAGCTGGTAAATTAAATAGAGATAAATTTCGATTTAAAGCTTTCGTGACTGCAGGGATTCATCTTCTTGGTTCTTTCGGTAAAGTCACGTAGAAGGGAAATAATAAAATAATGAAATAAAACATAAAAAAATATATATTTAATGTTTAGTTTTTATTATTTTATTATTTCTAATAAAAATAAAACATAATAAAATATATATGTAATGTTTTGTTTTTATTATTTTATTATTTCTATTCTACATGACTTTACCGAAAGAACCAATTAATAAAAATAAAACATAAAATAAAACATAATAAAATAATTATATTATTATGTTTTATTTTTATTACTTCCATTCTACGTGACTTTACCGAAAGAACCAAGAAGAGAAATAGAGCTATACTTTGCACATCTATAGTTTTTTTTAGTAATGCTTGTTATAACTTTCTGACCCCGTGCCCTCTACTGGAGCATCTGTTACAAAAAAAGCTTTATCGCTTGTCGGATTTCTCGTGCAGTATAAATGTAAACAATCTAATCTCTAAATTCCTCTTGATATGCACATTCTTTTGTCAAGGCGCTCTTCTTCCACCTCCAACCCAGCTTATATATAAGCTCCAAGCTTGGCAGTGTCTCATTCTTCACCTGAAGACGGCTGCTTGCGTTGTAGCCGAAACGTCGTGAGAATTATTTTATTATGTTTTATTTTTATTATTTTATTACTTCCCTTCTACGTGACTTTACCGAAAGAACCAAGAAGATGAATCCCTGCAGTCACGAAAGCTTTAAAATTATTTTATTATGTTTTATTTTTATTATTTTATTACTTCCCTTCTACGTGACTTTACCGAAAGAACCAAGAAGATGAATCCCTGCAGTCACGAAAGCTTTAAAATAATTTTATTATGTTTTATTTTTATTATTTTATTACTTCCCTTCTACGTGATGACTTTACCGCAAGAACCAAGAAGATGAATCTAATCTCGATTGCCATGGCAACCACCACCAAGCCCCTACCCAAGATGGCTTCCTCAACGACTACGGAAGCCGCTCACAACCAAAACGCCCCCCACCCCTCCCCCCAGCGCTCGCGGTTCCGCGATTGTGAAATACGAGACGCATGGAGGCTCACGTGGACGACAGCGGCCGGGGTAAACGCGAAGCGGAGAATGAGTTTTGTGTGATTCGTTCGCGGAATGAAACACTCGCCGACCAGGGGAGCGGGTTAAGCTGCTGCTACTGCTACTGCCGTAGAAATGCGTTGACCACGCGGTCGTCCTTAGGCGCGTGCGTCTGTGTTTTGCTTTTTACTCTTCGTTGGACTTCTTTCGTACCGTACGTAGCCAACCGTGCTAACCGTAGTGTAGTGTATAGTGTGTAGTGTATCATAGTGTAGTGTATAGTAGTGTATTGTGTAGTGTAAAATAGTGTAGTGTATAGTAGTGTATTGTGTAGTGTATCATAGTGTAGTGTATAGTAGTGCACTGTGTAGTGTAAAATAGTGTAGTGTATAGTAGTGTATTGTGCAGTGTATCATAGTGTAGTGTATAGTAGTGCACTGTGTAGTGTAAAATAGTGTAGTGTATAGTAGTGTGCAGTGTATCATAGTGTAGTGTATAGTAGTGTGCAGTGTATCGTAGTGCAGTGTATAGTAGTGTATAGTAGTGTAGTGTATAGTGCAGTGTATAGTGTAGTGTATAGTGTAGTCTATAGTGTAGTGTATAGTAGTGTAGTATATAGTGTAGTGTATAGTGTAGTGTATAGTAGTGTACTGTAGTGTATAGTAGTGTAGTGTAGTGTATAGTAGTGAAGTGTATAGTGTAGTGTATCGTGGTGTATGGTGTGTATCGTAGTGTAGTGTATAGTAGTGTATCGTAGTGCAGTGTATAGTATCGTGTATAGTAGTGTAGTGTATAGTAGTGTCGTGTATAGTGTAGTGTATAGTAGTGTAGTGTATAGTCTAGTGTATCGTAGTGTATAGTGTAGTGTATCGTAGTGTAGTGTAGTGTATCGTAGTGCAGTGTAGTGTATAGTAGTGTATAGTGTAGTATATAGTAGTGTAGTGTATCGTAGTGTAGTGTATAGTAGTGTAGTGTATCGTAGTGTAGTGTATAGTAGTGAAGTGTGTAGTGTAGTGTATAGTAGTGTAGTGTATAGTAGTGTAGTGTATAGTAGTGTATCGTGGTGTATGGTGTGTATCGTAGTGTAGTGTATATTGTACTATGTAGTGTATAATATTTTACTGTGTAGTGTATAGTGTAGTGTATCGTAGTGTATAGTGTAGTGTGTAGTGTATAGTAGTGTAGTGGCTAGTAGTGTAGAATAAATAGTAGTATGTATGTTGAACTTCTTTCGCACCATACGTAGTCAACCGTGCTAATCGGAGGGGCTTATGCACATTGCACTTTAATTATGTTATTCACATTTATTTATTCTCTACAATTGCGTTTTGTGTTGTTGTTCTTCCCCCGCGCACCTCCGATTAGCGCGGTTGGCTACGTACGGTGCGAAAGAAGTTCAACATTCGTACAATCCATACATTTCATTGGTACAATTGCTTTGGGTCATGAACACATTCCTGCGGAGGGAGCTGGTAGGAACGTTGGGTTGCTCGGTCAATGGCCAGGGTCAACGGCGGCGTGGTGTATTCCGCAAATATGCCCGACTGTGAGGGCGGGCACAAGCCGGCGTGAGTAGGTTAAACGTTGAGTTTTATAAGGGCACCACGGGGTGACCAGCCCCTCCCCACCCAGCCCCAGCCCCACCCAGCCCCTCCCCACTCTCCCCACCCAGCCCCACCCAGCCCCTCCCTGCACGACGGACACAATAATCCCCTGTGGGCTGGTGTAACCAGGAGGTTACTATCAGTATAAATGTTTCTTATCCAGTAGAGCCACACTGAGCCATAGACTCATGATGGTTCTGCTGCATTGGGTTTTAAAGATATTTTCAGGCAATGAATGATGAGTGTTTATATATATAACAATGGCAAAAATCTGCAGTATAGCCTGAACAAACTGTTGGGGAAAGTGCTGTTAGCGAGCACCTATGAAGGCTGGCACGGCACACGAGGGGATGGGTGGCCAACACGCCCAGCCACCTTTGTCTCCCCGGTGCCCATGTGTTTACATACCGCGCCATGTACAGCACTCACTTGAGTCGACCTAGGGGAGGACCAGCTCGGATAATTGTCACTGGTGTGTTGGCCGTGAGCGGGAATCGAACTCGGCTAGGCCGGTTTTTAGCGCTACACTCCCGCTCCCCACACCCATCAGCATGCATCATCCAGCAGTGGATTGACATGGTGTTTGACGGCCGTCCTAACCGCCCTGTGACCCCCTGCCTTGCCCTCCGCTTGTCACCAACCTCCTGTGCGCCCTCACCCCCTCGCTGCTCTCACGCCACCGCTCGCCAAATCTCATGACGGATCCTGCAGGGCAGAGGTTTCAACCGGGTACCCGATACCCGTACCCTACCCAATACCCGGCTACCCGTACCCAGCCGGGTACGGGTATCCGTTTGCGACCCTGGTGCGGCCGGGTACGGGTACGGGTAGGCCGTGAGTCACTGGTGAGTAACTGTTTGTCACTCATTTCCCAACGTCTTGTCTCTTCTCACAATTCAAGTTCCTAGAATCAACCCACCCGCGCCTGCAACATGGCTTCATCCCAGAGGTCGCAATCAGGTACCACGATACCCGTACCCTACCCGTACCCGGCCGGGTACGGGTACTCGTTTGCGACCCTGGTGCGGCCGGGTACGGGTACGGGTAGGCCGTGAGTCACTGGTGAGTAACTGTCACTCATTTCCCAATGTCTTGTCTCTTCTCACAATTCAAGTTCCTAGAATTAACCCCCCCGCGCCTGCAACGTGGCTTCATCCCAGAGGTCGCAATCAGGTACCCGATACCCGTACCCTACCCGTACCCGGCCGGGTATGGGTACGGCCGGGTATGGGTACGGGTACCCGTTTGCGACCCTGGTGCGGCCAGGTACGGGTACGGGTAAGGAATGAAAACCCGTCTGCAACCTCTGCTGCAGGGGACACGGTGGCGGGGCGTGACGAGGGAGGCCTCTCCGGGGTGAGGTCCGTGGTGCTGGTGCTCTCCGGCAAAGGCGGAGTGGGCAAGAGTACCGTGAGCACGCAGCTGGCGCTGGCGCTGCGCAACGCCGGGCAGAAGGTACCTGGGTGGCGGTGGTTGAACGACATCATCGGCTCTGGGGTGGTGCGGCAATCGGTTCTATTTTGATGTCGCTGGGCTGTAGTCGCTCTCTCTTTCAGAAGCGACCTGACTATCGCAAATGAAAGCTCCACGAAGTGGCTTGTCGTCGTCGTTACGCAGAAATGTATTGGAGCCAAATGCTGATTTAGAATCAATACTCGTGATTCTAAATGTGGAGGGGGAATAACGGAGAACCCGGAGAAAAATCAACGCGACCACGGGGAGAGAGAGACACGCAAACTCCAAATATACAGTGGTACCTCGGTATACGTCGTTAATCCGTTCCAGAAGGTAGGACTTCTACCGAAAATGACGTAGACCAAACGAATTTTCCCCATAAGAAATGAAGGGAAAGGAAATAATCCGTTCCAGAGGATAATAAATTATATTTTATATGGCATATTATACATTAATGGGGTTGTATAAAATAATTTAGACACTACTTATTACTAAAATGCATACATAAATTTAAATAAATGCATAAATAAATAAAAATAAATGTATAAATAAATTTTTAAAAATTATAAAAAAAATGTAACGTCACTTTACCTTGCTGAGAGGAGTTGATAGCCTACGAGGATGGTGGTGAGGAAGGGGGGAGGAGATGTTATTTTTTGGAAGGAGAGTCCCCTTCCATTAAAACTTCAGGAAGCTGAAATTCTGGGGTCTTTTCTCTTTTCTGTCTTTCTTTTGCCTTGGACCTGGTTGAGGCTCACCAGGTTTGAGTTTTACTATAAACCTCTCCGTTGAAGTTTGTTTTTGCCTTCTGCTAAGAATGAACGACATCTACAGGCAGACTGAGGAGCGGCGCTTTGTTTCGGTCGTGAACGGGTATACGCGGGTACGCGGTGACTCATCCCGACCCATACAAGTTCTAGCAAGCGCGTCGTATCCCAAGCAAGACGTCGTATCCCAAGCAAGACGTCGTATCCCAAGACATTTTTGTCTCGTCAAAACACGACGTGTACCCAGCTGCGTACGGGTAGCCGGATATCGGGTAGGGTACGGGTATCGGGTACCCGGTTGCGACCTCTGCTCACAGCGCTCCCCCTCCGCCCCCCGCCCCCCGCGCTAGGTGGGGCTGCTGGACGTGGACCTGTGCGGCCCCAGCGTGCCGCGCATGTTGGGCCTGCAGGGCCGCGCCGTGCACCAGTGCGCCGCCGGGTGGCTGCCCGTGTACGCGGACGCCGGGCGCCGTCTCGCCGTCATGTCCGTGAGCTTCCTGCTGGCGCAGGCCGACGACGCCGTCGTGTGGAGAGGCCCCAAGAAGAACGGTGCGGCACCGCGCCGGGGCTCGTTGTTTACGTGCGCGGGGTGTGCGGGTGTGTGCAGGTGTGTCAGTGTGTGTCAGTCGACCCGTGGCACCTGCTGGGTCTGCCCCGTGACCTCCTGCCAGCGAGCGTTCGACACTTCACGTGGCCTCAAGGTGCACTTGGCCTGGCACAATCGTCGTGATGACGTCACCGCCACTTAGTGGCGAATGGCGGTTGTTGTTGTTGTGTGTCAGTTGGAGGCAGTCGCCCTCCAAAAACAACGGAGGGCGGAGGAGCGACGCTCACAACAACGAGCGGAGCACCAGGTGGCTAAAGCACAGCAAGTTGGCACAGTAGGGAGCACAGTTGGTGTATCTACCAGTCATCTCAGTCAGTCAACCCACGGCACCTGGGTCTGTCCCATGGCCGTCTGCAAGCAGCGACAGCCTTCGACGCTTCACGTGGCCTCAAAGTGCACCTAGCCTGGCACAAGCTCAGTGTTGTCGCCACTGCAACTTGGTGGCGAATGGCGGTTGTTGTTGATGATGTCGTGGTGTGGTTTGTGTGTCGTGTTGAGTAGCAATGATCAAGCAGTTTGTGAGCGACGTGCTGTGGGGAGAGCTGGACTTCCTGCTCGTGGACACCCCGCCTGGAACGTCGGACGAGCACATGGCCGTGCTGGAGAGCCTGCGCGGCCGCTCACCCGCTGGAGCCTTGCTCGTCACCACGCCACAGGTGGGCCCGCTCACTCACCCGCTTACTTACCCGCTCGCCCACTCGCTCACCCACCAGCTCGCTCGCTCACCCACTCACACGCTGGTGCCCTGCTCGTCACCACTCCAAAGGTCATCCCATTAGCTCACCCACCCGCTCACTCGCCCCGCTCGCTCACCCACTTATTTACTCACTTACCCACCCACTTAATCACCCACCGACTCGCTCACCCACTCAACCACTCGCTCACCCGCTCGCTAACCCGCTCGCTCACCCACCCGGTCGCTCACCTACCCGCTCACCCGCTCTCCCACTTGCTCACTCACCTACTCGCTCACCCTCTCACTCACCCGCTGTCCAACTCACTCACTCACCAGCTCGCTTGCCCACTCCCACTCTCCCGCTCGCTCGCCACTCTTCTGCCGGGCCCTGCGAGTCGGCTGGGTCACAGTGCTGGCAGTCCCAACAACAAAATCATCATCATCATCACGAACCACAACGCCTTCCGAGAGAGAGGGCATCATTTCGGCAGCATTGGTTCAGCGTAAGCAGACTCTTGACCAGATTCAACATACAGTGTCTCATCAGGAGAGTCAGGCTTGCCCGTACGCTCCTTTCGGATCGATGACTCGTCCGGATTTGAATGCTCCTCCTTCCTTTGGAGGTTGGACGATTACACGCCCTGTCGGGATTGTTGTGCAGTTCTTGCCAGCGATGAGGCGTTTGGCCCGTTAACGTTTACAGCAGAACTCTCGGTTATAATCCGCGCCAGTGGCGGGGAGGACGGCCGCGGATAATTCACAATCGCGGATAATCCGAAAGTGTACCCAGTTCCCACGGATTTCTGTGCCAAAAAACACTTGGAAGATATAAATGATGTTCAAGCTAAGAAGATAGAGTTTTAAATATTTATTTATTTATTTCTTATCTACACGACTTTAGCGAAAGAACCAAAGAATATACATTTGGAGTAAAGATTCGACTGACCGATGCTCGTGCTCGGTGATAAAAACACTTTCCTGCTCCCGCCCAGCAGAAGTCTCGGCCCACTAAGTGGATAACAGCAGCAGAGCCACGCCAATCAACGTCGATTAAACTCTGCCCACCCTTGCAACTACTGTACTGTAGGGGCAATCTCGCGTGGATTCCACGACACCACGGGGAGAGAGAGACACGCAATCTCCAAATATATCAGCAGGCATCAGGGTCAGGATTGAACCCACGACCTCCTGCACACCAGGCGAGGTAGTTAACATCTCCGAGCCACCGTGATGATGATGAAAGAGAGAGACACGCAAACTCCAAATATACAGCAGCAGGCGTCAGGCGTCGGGATCGAATCCACGACCTCCTTTAGACCAGATGAGGTAGTTATCATCTCCTAGCCACCGTGATGATGAAAGAGAGGGACACGCAAACTCTATATATACAGCAGGCGTCAGGTTTGGGACCGAACCCACGACCTCCTGCACACCAGGCGAGGTAGTTAACATCTCCTAGCCACCGTGTGTGGCTCTCCTAGATAAATAACTTATTATATAATAATAGTTCTAAATAAGTAAACTAATATCACGTTCCTTGTCTCTGCTCCCCCCCTCCACCCCCCCTGCTCTGTCCACGGGCAGGAGGTGTCGGTGGGCGACGTGAGGAGGGAGCTGACGTTCTGCAGTAAGACGGGGCTCAAGGTGCTGGGCATCATCGAGAACATGAGTGGCTTCGTGTGCCCCCATTGCTCCGTGAGTTTCGCCGTTGTTGTTGTCGTGGTCGTTGTGATTGTTGTTGTTGTCGTGGTTGTTGTTGTCGTGGTTGTTGTTGTCGTGGTTGTTGTTGTCGTGGTCGTTGTTTTCGTGGCCGTCGTGGTCGTTGTGATTGTTGTTGTTGTCGTGGTTGTTGTTGTCGCGCTTGTGGTGGTGGTTGTCGTGGTGGTTGTCGTCGTTGTTGTTGTTGTTGTGGTTGTCCTGGTGGTTGTTGTTGTTGTGGTTGTTGTGGTGGTTGTTGTTGTTGTCGCGCTTGTGGTGGTGGTTGTCGTCGTGGTTGTCGTCGTGGTTGTTGTCGTTGTGGTTGTTGTTGTCGTGGTTGTCGTCGTGGTTGTTGTCGTGGTTGTTGTGGTGGTTGTTGTTGTTGTCGCGCTTGTGGTGGTGGTTGTCGTAGTTGTCGTCGTGGTTGTTGTGGTGGTTGTCGTCGTGGTTGTCGTCGTGGTTGTCGTGGTGGTTGTTGTTGTTGTGGTTGTTGTTGTCGCGCTTGTGGTGGTTGTTGTTGTTGTTGTTGTCGTGGTTGTTGTTGTGGTTGTCTGTCTGTAACCTCCCACCGCGGAGGAAAAGCACCCCCCCCCCCATTCTCTCCCACATGTTGTATGTTGAACTTCTATCGCGCCATACGTAGCCAACCGTGCCAACCGGAGGTGCAATGAGCACGATTGGCCAACCCTGCTGTGGTTGGCTGGCTGGCGTCGGAGTCCAAATTCTCCACGTTCTAATATTACCCCGCGCACCGCTCATTGGGGTTATAGTGTACACAGCAGCAATCGTCACCCCATACTGGCACCAGACTAATGCCCCCAGCAAGTCGCTCTCGCAAATGAGGCTTGTTGTTGTTGTATCTTGAGTTGTTTCTGACCCGGTTGAAATGAAATCAACGCGGACTTCTTTCCAGGTGAGTATCAAAGGTGCGACGCGGTGACTGGGAGATGTTAACTCCCTCGCCTGGTACACAGGAGGTCGTGGGTTCTATCCCGACCCTGACGTCTGCTGCTGTATATTTGGAGTTTGCGTGTCTCTCTCTCATCATCATCACGGTGGCTATGAGATGTTAACTCCCTCGCCTGGTACACAGGAGGTCGTGGGTTGGATCCCGACCCTGACGTCTGCTGCTGTATATTTGGAGTTTGCGTGTCTCTCTCTCATCATCATCACGGTGGCTATGAGATGTTAATTCCCTCGCCTGGTACACAGGAGGTCGTGGGTTAAATCCCGACCCTGACGCCTGCTGCTGCTGTATATTTGGAGTATGAATGTTCCCCCCGTGGTCGCGTGGATTTTTCTCCATTTAGAATCACGCCTTTCGAGTATGTCTGCTATAAATGTCCACGTGATGATGAGCCACTTGGTTGAACAATCATTTGCGACCAGGTCGCTTCAGAAAAATGAGCCACGTAACTCAGTGCTGCCTTACCTGGTGAGATAAAAAAATAGTTTGAAATGAAAGCGAATCGTCGTCAGGTTCGGTATTCGCGCGCGGCACGTTCTTGAAACGCGAAGCGTGTGAGGGCATCCCGAGCGAGGCGTGACCTCTGCCGTTGCAGGAGTGCAGCAACGTGTTCTCCAAGGGCGGCGGGGAGGCGCTGGCCGACGAATTCAAGGTCCCCTTCCTGGGTGAGTTGAATCGATCGACCATTCACCCGCTTCCTTCCTTCGCGCCTGCTTCTTTTATACACTTTAACACGTAGGCTTTCGCGACCAATATCATCCGACCACAAATCTGGCTGTCGCCTGATGATGCCGGTTGTAATTACTGGCGAAACGTCGTACTCAGATTGTAAATGTTGTGGCGTGGCTCTTCAACTCACAACCGGTGTGCTGTACTAGTATACTACACTATACACTACACTATACACTAGTGTTGTACTAGTATACTACACTATACACTAGTGCTGTACTAGTATACTACACTATACACTACACTATACACTACACTATACACTAGTGCTGTACTAGTATACTACACTATACACTAGTGCTGTACTAGTATACTACACTATACACTACACTATACACTACACTATACACTAGTGCTGTACTAGTATACTACACTATACACTACACTATACACTACACTATACACTACACACTAGTGCTGTACTCGTATACTACACTACACACTATACTATACACTACACTATACACTACACTATACACTACACTATACACTAGTGCTGTACTAGTGTACTACACTATACACTAGTGCTGTACTAGTATACTACACTATACACTACACTATACACTACACACTACACTATACACTACACTATACTACTATACACTACACACTACACTATACTACTATACACTACACTATACACTACACTATACACTACACCAGGCATGTCCAAAGTCCGGCCCGCGGGCCAATCACGGCCCGAGGTCAGATTTCATACGGCCCGCAGCTTCGGTCTTATAAATCATAAAACTTTAAAGATGATATTCCTCCTTCCGCCACACGGTGGCAGCACCATTCTAATGCTCTCTAATTTTGCATCCGTGCCGCGAACCCTTCTCGAATCATGTCTGCCATGGCGACTGCAAAAAAAAAGAGAAAAGTTGACAGTGAGGGCCGCCGCTTTCAGGAGCGGTGGGAATTACAATACTTCTTCACTGGAAATCGAGGCAATTGTGTTTGTCTAATTTCTAAGGAGACAGATGCCTTGTTTAAGGATTTCAACGTAAAGAGAGAGGGCAAAATTCACTTGTTTTAAAGTTTAATGATAACAGACCACTTTGCATTACTTATAACTCCTGTATAAAATGTTCATGAGGCAAATATATTTAACTCATGGAAATTTAAGGTATTCTATACAGTTTGTTCAAAGTTATCTGACTGAATGAAAGGCAGAATTGTGTTTTTAGAGTTGTTCCCGTCTGCCTGAGTGGCTTATATTTGGTTACATTGTCATTTGAAAAATAAAGGTAATTGTGACAATGATAATTGTTTTATAACAGTGTGTGTATTTTCACGTAAATTTTGTGGTAAAAATGTCAGAAGGAACTATTGGCCCCCGGGCATCTTTACTTTATAAAATTTGGCCCTCTTTGCAAAAAGTTTGGACACCCCTGCACTACACTATACACTAGTGCTGTACTAGTAACAAATTGGCACGTTCTGTTTACGTGACAACCCTTACTAATTGGCTGCCCTGGGTGGTGGCGGGTTTAACGACACATTTATATATTTACGCAATCCAACCCAAAAAAAACCCTGTATCATGTGTTTTTAAAATACACGTCGGACGGTCTATTCTGGATGACCGCAGCCACCCACAGCTTTCCAACGGCCACCCAATGAAGCGCCCCCCCCCCCCTCCCCGCCCCCCCCCTCTAGGCTGCGTGCCGGTGGAGCTGCAGCTGGCGCGGTGCGGTGAGGACGGCCGCTCCCTGCTGGAGGCCTCGCCGGAGAGCGGCGCTCACCAGATCCTGCAGGCCATCGCCCAGCGACTCATCATTGACCACGGCGGTGACGGCGGCGGTGTTACGGCGAGTGTGGCCGTGCCGTGACCGTCTGGCGATGCAAACTTGCTGCCCCCCTCCCCCCCTGATTCCTCCACCTCTTTCCATCTTCGGGGTGCCGCGTTGGCAAGATCTTAACTACCTCGCCGGGTATGCAGGAGGTCGTGGGTTCGATTGCGATCCATACAATGCCTCTCTTCTTCCCATGGTCGCGTGGACTTTTCTCCGGGTCCTCCGGTTTTTCCTCTCCACTTTTACAATCGACATCGCCACGCGTTTAGAGTATTTGGCTGCAATGCATTTCCCACGTGACGATGTTGAGCCACTTCAGCGGGCTGTCATTTGTGGCGGCCAGGCTACACAGCTCAGCGGAGCCTTACCTGGTTAAAAAAATAAACATTTGTTTCGCAGTAGCAACTCGGAGAATTGAAATCATTGGTTCGATCGTCACGCGACTAACATTGTCGCTGTTGTGCGCTAAGCGGGGGTGGGACCAGGTGATCGCTTGAAGGCGTCCCTAAGAAGTAGCTCTACGAGATATATATCCGCTTCCGCGTGCCATTATTAAATCCTTTATATTAAGTTAGCTTGCTTGCTTACGACCGTGCAAATCTTTCGGTCGTTTTTTAACCCACTTCCCGTGATCCAATCGAGCTGACATTTTGCACACAGACTCGTTGTGCGAGACAATTAATGTTCGTGAAAAATGTTTTCAAAAATTTTACACTTTTTAGGGAAAACAAATTAAATATTTAATTACCAATTGCTTAATACTGGCAGACAATCATCTGACCCATAGGTGGCAGCGATCTCAAGCCAGAGGACGAGAGGACTCTAGCCGCCACGCATATAAAGGATTTATAGTGAAAAACTTTGTTTTTACGGGTTTACTTGTTTTTCTTCACACCAATTACATTTGCACTGCTTTGCGAGCGTTCCGGACGTCTCCTGCGGCTCGTGACGCGACACAAAGAGCGTAGTACGGATAGAGTTGCGAGTCGTCGTTAATTAGCAGCAGCGGCCGCGGCAGTAGCAGCGGCCGGTTGCACTGAAGGACTTCACGTGAAGACGTTAAAGTTGCAGAGGTCTGCAGCGAAGGGAAGCGCTCGCTGGAGGTTTCTTTTCACCGTGGGTCAAGGTGGTCGTCTCGTGCAGAGGTCGCAACCGGGTACCCGATACCCGTACCCTACCCGTACCCGGCTACTCGTACCCGGCCGGGTACGGGTAGCCGTTTGCGACCCTGGTGCGGCCGGGTACGGGTAGGTCGTGAGTCACTGGTGAGTAACCGTTTGTCGCTCATTTCGGGTAGGGTATGGGTAGGGAACGGCTACCCGTACCCGGCCGGGTACGGTTACGGGTACCCATTTGCGACCCTGGTGCGGCCGGGTACGGGTAAGGAATCAAAACCCGTTTGCGACCTCTTCCTCTCGGCAACTCCCTCTGACCTGCACAGTCACCGTGCATGGGGAGGCGGGCATAGTGAGTGGGAGTTGGGGAAGAGGAGTGAAGCTTTCAGGGCCCAGTGGTTCACGAGACAAAGATCCCCCCGCGACGTCTTCACAGACTGTCGGCGAGCAGCACTTTTGAAGGCCGGGACGGCACGTGAGGGGGTGGGCGGCACGTCCGGCCAGCCGACTTTGTCTCCCCAGTGGCGATGTTTACCACATACCGCACCAGGTCCTAATTTGAGGCCGAGTCGACCTAGGGAAGGCCCAGAACCGGTTCAGTTAATCGTCAATGGTGTTGGCCGTGAGCGGGAAGCGAACTCGGGTCGCCAGGTTCATCGCGCAAGCCCGCTAACCGCCGTGCCACCGCTCTACGAGACACGCATGCACGCACTGTGTAAGCAAATCATCGCTATGCATTCCCGGGAGACCGATTAAAATTTACACGCGATTCGCCATCTTTCTGTGCTTAAAATGTTTTATTTCATTGAATGTTTCCATCATTGTCACACCGGGATTACACCAATTATAGAAAAATACCCCCAAAAAATGGATTGCTTTGGTCCCTGATTGAGTATTTGTATTAAAAAAACCCGACAGCCCTGGTCCAACAACACCCATCCTCCACAGACTCGCACCACCACACAAAAAACAAAGATCCCCCGTATAGCCTGAACAGAATGTTGCGGCAAGTCCTATAAGCAAGCTGCACCTATGAAGGCCGGCACCACGCCCGGGCCGCCTTTGTCTCCCTAGTCGCAATGTTTACACCGCACCAGGCACTCATTTGAGGCTGAGTCGACCTAGAAGTTCACCCCTAGCCCCCCACTGCGAAAACTTGGCAGGAACCTCCTGAAAAAACGAGACCCGAAACTCAGTGAGGCTTTCTTGAGTGCCACAACCGGCATCATCAGGCGACAGCCAGAGTTGTGGATAAATCCTGTTTCAGTCTTCACTCGAATTATAAATGTTGTGGGTTTCCTCTCAACACACCGGTATGCTGTACTAAGAACGAATTGCCACGTTTTATTAAGTGACAAACCTTCGATTTAAAGCTTTCGTGACTGCAGGGATTCATCTTCTTGGTTCTTTCGGTAAAGTCACGTAGAAGGGAAATAATAAAATAATAAAAATTAAACATAATAAAATAATTCTCACGTTTCGGCCACAACGCAAGCAGCCGTCTTCAGGTGGAGAACAGGTCTGTCGAGAGACAGAGTCTGAATGGCACGCCCCACCTGAAGACGGCTATTTGCGTTGTGGCCGAAACGTCGTGAGAATTATTTAATGTTTTATTTTTATTATTTTCCTTCTACGTGACTTTACCGAAAGAACCAAGGTGGTGACAAACCTTACTAATTGGCTGTGTCGGGTGGTGGCTGTGTCGGGTGGTGGCGGCGGCGGGTTTAAGGACGCATATTTACGCTATCTATAACCTATTACAGATAATATTGGTCGCGAAAGCCTGCTGCTCCATGTTTGGCATGGCATTGCCCATTCAGTGGAGTGTCTCTGCCCATGTATGGTCATTGTGGGACTTTAATTAATGTATCGCATTGATTCTGCTCGCAGTTGAACCACGTTAGAGTCATCAATTCATCGGGGGGGGGGGGGGGGGGGTCAATCGCCTGCGTCGATTAATTAGCAAGCCGATACACGGATCGGGAGATCCCATTGGTAATCTTAGCGGCGGATCGATAGTGAGCTGTGCATCGGAGTGTTGCCACGTTCTAGATTTGAAGCTTTCGTGACTGCAAGGATTCATACTCTTAGTTCTTTCCGTAAAGTCACGTAGGTAAAAAATGAAATTAAAATGAATAAAAAAATAAAAATCACGATGTTTCGGAGGCAACGCAAGTCTCCGTCATCAGGTGGGACCGTCACAGCCAGATTTGCTGCATCACCTTGATGCATCAAGGAGACTTGCGTTGCCTCCGAAATGTGATTTTTTTGTTGTTTTATTTTTATTAATTTTAATTTCATTTTTTACCTACGTGACTTTACCGAAAGAACTAAGAGTATGTTGCCACCGTTATTCATGTTACTCGCTATCGGCGATTGTTGGCTGTCCGGGACTACACGGCTACTGCATCGACACCGATAAAGTTATGAGAAGTAAAATGTTACTGGGCAGCATCATAATTCAAGGTAAGTTCATTTATAAACGACTAGCTTTACTACCCGGCTTCGCCCGGGACTTGGATTCACCACGCCCGGCCACCTTTGTCTCCCCAGTGGCAATGTTCACACACCACACCGGTTACTCGTTTGAGGCTGAGTCGACCTAGGGGAGGCCCAGGACCCGTTGAAATAATCGTCACCGGTGGTGGCCGTGAGCGGGAATCGAACTCGGGTGGTCGGGTTCGTAGCGCAGCGCGCTAACCACTACACCACCGCTCCCCCCACACAAACGTGTCCATAGGTACACATACACGCGCATGCTGCAGACACACGCAACTTTCAGGGTGCGTACAGCAGTAAACGACTGAAACAATAAAGCAGCAACGCTGCGCGAAGAACGCCTTAGACCTGCAACACATTTGTTTGGCACTTTACAAATGTGTTGGGGGGTGACATCAGCAGGCACACTGCGTGACGCTTCCGCATGCGGGTGACATCACAGATGTGACGTCACAGCTCACTTGCCGTGCAAAATATATCCATTATTGCACCCCCCCCCCCCCCCCCCAAAAAAAATAGAAAAGTAGTTTTTATTATTTATGTACAGTCTGGAAAGTACCCACATGGCAAATTTGAAGTTTGTTGCATGTCGGTAAGTACGCTAAACATTTTGAACAAACACAATCACAAATTTCCCTTTTATATAGAAAGATAATTAATACCTGAATATTGTTTATGTTTATTATAAAAAAAATAATTTGTGTTGTAATTTTCATGCATTAATAGCTTATTTATGCATTCATTTATGGTCATTCATGGAATGTGCTATTCACAAGCATCTCGGGAACGTATCTCTCGTTGCAAATAATGAGGGATTACCGTATAATTTTTTCTTGGTTCTTTCGGACGCTGTCTTTCCGACAGACCTGTTCTTCACCTGAGGACGGCTGCTTGCGTTGTGGCCGAAACGTCGTGAGAATTTTATTTTATTATGTTTTATTATTGTATTATTTCCCTTCTACGTGACTTTACCGAAAGAACCAAGAAGATGAATCCCTGCAGTCACGAAAGCTTTAAATCGAAAAGTATAACTATTTGTTAGAATCCGGAATGAAAGTGATTTTTAAAAAAAAATTCGATTCTGATGGTGCCTGTGGGCTGTTCAGCACGACGCCGATGGGCAGAACGGCACGTCGCTGTTCGGCACGATGTCGAAAACACGTCGGAGAACGAATGGCGCTGGGCGACACGACCGTAGGCACCTTCACCGCGATTGTTTACATCAAAGCGTGACGCGCAGCTAAGCGATTGGAAGGAAACGAAGGCAATGGAGAGGGTTGCAGGCAGGATGTGTCCGGGTGTGCCTAGGCAGTCTCGCACAGGTAGAGACTCTTTGTGAGTGTCGTCTCCACAACAGGGATGACCTTAACTTTTTTGGATTTCATAACAAAGTCTTGATTTCCTATCTCCTTGGTCACCTGTCCCACCACGCGGGGCAACACAGCAGCGGCAAGCCGCGATGAGTACAGAGCACTTGCTATACATTATATACTACATCTACTCACTATACATTATATACTACATCTACTCACTATACATTATATACTACATACACTCGCTATACATTATATACATATACTCACTATACATTATATACTACATCTACTCACTATACATTATATACTACATACACTCACTATACATTATATACAGTGATACCTCGGTTCACGAACTTAATTCGTGAACTGACTGGTCGCGAACCGAATTGGTCGTGAACCGAGGCACATTTTCCCACAGGGTTCAATGTAAATCCGGTTAATCCGTTCTGACCTTTTTTTTTGGTTTTTGAAGCACAAAAATATGAAACAAATTACAATACACATTAGTACTGTACAGTATAGTAATGTATAAAGAGAGAACACTAACCTTGCTTGAGATGACTTCATTAAGCACTCAAACGGGTGAACTGTACAATACAGTAAGTACAGTATTGTACAGTACAGTAGTACAGTACTGTATGTGCTAAAAAGCACACCAAAAATCTAAAAGTCACTGAAAGTGTCTTCACAGTACTCAGAGTACTTCTTTCTGTGTGTCTGCTTCTCTCCACGATCTTCCTACAGGAAGTCACGACCATGTGACAGACTGGAATTAGCATAAAAATGGCCACGGCTCCTGTTCGTGAACCGAAGCGGAGTTCGTGAACCGGAGCATATTTTTATGACATTTTCTGTTCGTGAACCGAGTTGTTCGTGAACCGAAGCGTTCGTGAACCGAGGTATCACTGTACTACATACACTCGCTATACATTATATACATCTACTCGCTATACATTATGCTCCATACACTCGCTATACATTATATACTACATCTACTCACTATACATTATATACTACATACACTCGCTATACATTATATACTACATCCACTCACTATACACTATATACTACATCCACTCGCTATACATTATATACTACATCCACTCGCTATACATTATATACTACATCCACTCACTATACACTATATACTACATGCACTCGCTATACATTATATACTACATCTACTCACTATACATTATATGCTACATACACTCACTATACACTATATACTACATCTACTCACTATACATTATATACTACATCCACTCGCTATACATTATATGCTACATACACTCGCTATACACTATATACTACATACACTCACTATACATTATATACTACATCTACTCACTATACATTATATACTACATCTACTCACTATACACTATATACTACATCTACTCACTATACACTATATACTACATACACTCACTATACATTATATACTACATCTACTCACTATACACTATATACTACATCCACTCGCTATACATTATATACTACATACACTCACTATACATTATATGCTACATCTACTCGCTATACACTATATGCTACATCCACTCGCTATACATTATGCTCCATACACTCGCTATACATTATATACTACATCCACTCGCTATACATTATATACTACATCTACTCGCTATACACTATATACTACATACACTCACTATACACTATATGCTACATACACTCGCTATACACGATATACTACATACACTCGCTATACATTATATACTACATACACTCGCTATACACTATATGCTACATACACTCGTACATGATATATTACATACACTTATACATACATACGTTATACATTATATACTGCATATATAATATTCTACATAATGGTATTCAGTTTAACATGTAGGCTTTCACGACCAATATCCATAATAGAGTTTTTTTTGTGTGTTAGATCACGTAAATACATAAATGTGTCATTAAATGTAAAATAATACATGCCTATACAGGGCACCATACCTCAATAGGAATTACCGTTGGTAGGCTATTTTATACACACAATAGACAGGAAGGACAAGCTCAAAGGGCTCGCATAATGCACATGCATCATGTACGCTGCCTCAGTAATCCCCACCCACTTTGTGCAAGAGTGCAGAAGGGTGGTCACCATATCTACGCCTATATGTAAGGAACGAAACAGGTGGACTTCTCCACAAATCTGGCTGTCGCCTGAATTAGCTGGTTGTAATTACTGGCGAAACGTCGTACTCGGGAAAAAAGTGCTGTGCCCACATTAATAGGTGCTCGCTAACAGCACTTGCACCAACAGTCTGTTGAAGGCTATTTGGGGGATCTTTGTCTACGGGGGCGGGCGGAGGGGGGGGGCCTCACCATCGTCATCATGTCCATAACGTGCATGGTGTCCATGTGCTGAAGGAAGACCTTGCCAATATTCTGAATCAGCAGGGATCCCTCATCCGGCTTGCGGAATGAAAGATGATCTGCGTGACGACACACAGTGGTCAATATTACGGCAGTTGGAGACACCCAGGGTCAATAAGTCACTGACGAGGCCACGATAAACCTCCCTATACAGTGAGGGAAACAATTATTTGATCCCCTGCTGATTTTGTACGTTTGCCCACTGACAAAGAAATGATCAGTCTATAATTTTAATGGTAGCTTTATTTGAACAGAGACAGAATAACAACAACAAACAAAATCCAGAAAAACGCATGTCAAAAATGTTATAAATTGATTTGCATTTTAATGAGGGAAATAAGTATTTGACCCTTTGCAAAACACGACTTAGTACTTGGTGGCAAAACCCTTGTTGGCAATCACAGAGGTCAGACGTTTCTTGTAGTTGGCCACCAGGTTTGCACACATCTCAGGAAGGATTTTGTCCCACTCCTCTTTGCAGATCTCCAAGTACAAAATCAGCAGGGGATCAAATACTTTTTTCCCTCACTGTATCTGGTACCTTCGGGGGAGCTGAACACCTTGAGCATGTCCGCGTACTTCTGCGGACGTAGCGGGGTGTCGCTCACGCTGTCCGTCTCCACGTCGTCCTTCTCCACTGCGACGCGGAGAGACGCGGCGGCGACAGGGCGAGATGTTAACTACGTCGCCCGGCGCGCGGGAGGTCGTCGTGGGCACGTCGCTGCACCACGTTGGCGTTACGATTATTATTATTAATTACGCTCCACCCGCAAGAAATAAGCGGGGCTGCCCGGCAAATTCGCACCGCAAACCTCTGCAACAACAACAACAAGCGGCAAACGCGCTACCGTTGGAGCCACGTCATCGCTAACCCCATGACAACTTGGGGGGGGTGGGGGTACACTTGAGTGGCTAGGAGATGTTAACTACCTCGCCTGGTATGCAGGAGGTAGTGGGTTCGATCCTGACCCTGACGCCTGCTGTACATTTGGAGTTTGCGTGTCTCTCTCTCTGCCCGTTGTCCCGTGGATTTTTCTCCGGGTCCATCGGGTTATTCCGTCCACGTTTACAAACGACATCACCACGTGTTTAGAGTATTTGGCTACTGCGAAAAATGTCCACGTGATGATGATGAGCCATTTCGTTAAGCTTTAATTTGTGATCGCCAGGTAACTTCTGAAAAAGACACTAACAGCTCAGTGGACCTTACCTGGCAAGACAACGTTTTTTAGTTTTATTTGTATTTTTTTAAAGTGATTTGTTTACCTTCTTGGTTCTTTCGGTAAAGTCACGTAGAAGGGAAATAATAAAAGAATAAAAATAAAACATAATAAAATACAATTCTCACGACGTTTCGGCCACAACGCAAGCAGCGGTCCTCAGGTGAAGAACAGGTCTGTCGGAAAGACAGCGTCAGAATGAACACCACCAAGCTTGGCAGCGTATATTTAAGTACAAAGCACGACCCCGGTGTCTCTTATGACCCGGCTGCTATGAACGCGACGACGCCACCTCGCACCTCCCCGGCAGGCCTGGATGATGAACACCTTCGGCTTGTTCTGAAGCGCCACGCATTCCTTCGAGTTGAACTCGTCGAAGACAGACTGCAGCTCCAGCTCCCCTTTGTCGTCGCCCAAGATGCAGTTCTTCCTCCCGTGGGACATGAGGCAGATGACGACGCAGTCCGGGTCGAGCACGCACACCTGGCTCTTGAACGCCTGCAGGTCTTCCTTGATTCCCTGCGTGTACGCGGATCGCGAGCGTGCGTGCGTGCGCGTACACACGGACGACGATGGGTGTGAGAGACTGCGCGTGGGAACGTTTGACTACATACGACATGACAGAAATTGTTATGCAGAAGATGGAATGCGCTATCCACGACAATACATTACACGACACTAGCATACACTACATTACACGACACTATATATTGAAAACATTTCTTTAGAACTGCTTATTGTGCTTTAGTTTGTTGTCCTTCCGCCGCACCTCCCATTAGTGTGGTTGGCAACGTGCGGCGCTCCTGTGTAACATTTTCTTTATGTAGCTAATGGACACCCACGATATTCTGTGG